TTAGATACTGGATCTACTGGACTGGTTTTTTAATATTCCAGTCTTTTATGCCCTGAAAATATTCTGGAATATTTCCCTAATTTTATCTTCTAGCTCCTCTGTTGAAGCTTTAACTTTTGATCTCTTTATTCTTATTTGTAAAAGTTATTTCTCATTCTCCAAATATCTCTTTTAAAGAACTCCGCTCTTAGTTCATGACTGCAGTGTCTTTCTTCTCTACTCTTAAGAATATTTATAAGTTCTTTGGATGATTTCTTTAGTCCCAGCACGTCTTCAAAGTTCTTTTTTTCTGTTTGCTTGTTTTAATCTCTTGTTATGTTAAAGGGTTTCTGTGAACGGCTGATCATTTTTTTGTGTCTGTTCTTTTTTTAAAGAGTGAAGTTCTAAAGTGATGATGATTGGAAGCGCTCTGTGTAGGTGGGGTGAATTTCTTGACGTGGGGCTTCACTTTAGTGTGACGATGCAGATAGCCACTTTTTAATTGTGTGACTCCTACATTAGCTGTATTTTTTTTTCCAGTTTCCTAGAAAAAAAATTGTAATTTCCTTTTGTGACTAACCCTGTACATCTGGCTGCCAGTATTCTTGTAGCTGAACAGTGGTCTTGGGTTGAGGTGGGGGATTCTCTTTTCAGTAGGCAGACATTTATTTAATTCTTTGTTTTTTAAGGACTACACTCACCTTTCCCTCCCCTCTTCTATTCCCATGCCCCGAAATGTTTCCCGTTGTTCCATATATACTGCTAGTTAAACTAATACTGCATAGGGGCAAGTGTTGGCCTGGCTGTGGCGAATGGGGTAGCAAATCAAGAGGTCTAATTGACTGACTTTAAATCAGTTTTCCTATTTCCCAGTGAACTACTTAGCCCTGTTTTCAGGATTATTTTGTTATTGGTCAGTTTCTACTCCTTTGGGTACCTCTAGTTGATCAATTAATAACTATGCCGGAGGAAGTGTAGGAAAGATAGGAAGGATAGGTAAATTGGCATTATCACTTTTTCATTCTTTTGTGTTATCTTTTTAAATGAATTTGAGGAGAGTTAACAATATGTACAGCATCAATACATTTAAAATGATTTAATTAAATCATGGAAATGACAAATTAAGGCATGGAAAATTAATTGCTTAATAGAAGGAATAAATAGAAGGCTTACCAGAAGGAGAAGTTAGTCTGTAGCAGTACATGCCATATGTTCATAAATAGTTATTACAGAGACCTGACATCTCTAGAGCAGCAGTTTCCAAGCGAGTGTAAACTATGTTGTCATTATAACAGTGTATAACAATTGAGAAATACCCTGGGTGGCTGGCACTTGAAATTAGATGAAGGATTGTTATCATTTTTCTTAGTTGAAACAAATTTAGATTGGCTTAACTAAGGTACTCTTTCATTTTAATCTGATTACCTTTTTTTTTGTGTGTGTGGAGACCAGAGGTAAGATTTTAGTAAGGTGTCCTGTGAAATTATTTCATGTCGGCCGGGCGCGGTGGCTCAAGCCTGTAATCCCAGCACTTTGGGAGGCCGAGGCGGGTGGATCACGAGGTCAAGAGATCGAGACCATCTTGGTCAACATGGTGAAACCCCGTCTCTACTAAAACTACAAAAAATTAGCTGGGCATGGTGGCGCATGCCTGTAGTCCCAGCTACTCAGGAGGCTGAGGCAGGAGAATTG